TATATATATGTATGTATGTATGTATGTATGTATGTATGTATATATATATATATATATATATATATATAAGTTAAATAAGTTTTTTTTTTACATCACAGGAGTCTAACCCTTCCACTAATTGCTGACCATCCACTGGTTTCTTTCAGTGGTGTTGAAAAGCCTCAGTCTCAATCCTCCCCTCGTATATTTCATTTTAAACTTAAGTTCTTGCTCCTGCTGAGTTGCCAGTTAGAGGAGACCAGTTGGTAGCAATGAAGAGACGATGCACAGCAGCTCTGGTTGTTTCTTGAAGAAAACATGTTGAATTTGACTGTAAGACCTATAAATGCTGTGGGTTTATTGTCTTATATTTTTGCTTAAGCCATGCTTAGATCAAACAAATTCATTATACCAATTGTAGTAAAAAAAAAAAAAACACCTTTAAAATAGATAATAAACTTTCGAATCAGTCCACAGCTAAATAAATATAAATGTTTGTTATTGGTCTAATGTAATATTCTTATCATTAAAGTGATGTTTGTATCAGTCTGTAGATAACTGGTTTATAGAAAACATTGTACTTGGTGAGTTGAGTTATTTAAATATCGATGTTTTTTTTCAATGATATTTGTCATGATCTTGGCTCTGATGAATGGCTTGATTAGTCATTTCTTTCACCTGTCTAGTTCCCCCCAGTTTCTCATTATCGTTCAGCTGATTCACCTTCTCCTGCCTATATTTAACCTGCCTTCTTCCAGTCATCAGTGTCAGATTATCAAGCCCTTGGCAAGAGTTTTAGAACATATCTAGTTGTTTCTGATTGCCTGATCCTGACCTATTCTGCCTCTGAGCCTGTGTGTTCCTGTTCTGATCTGTTTGCCTCACCTGTCTTCGGACTCCTGCTGGATTCAGCCTGGTTACCGACCCTGGAAGTGCTTCCTTAGGCTGGTCTTGAGCACCAAGCTGATGACAATATTTTGATTTATTGAATATGGCTTTGTCTATGTAAAAACCTTTGCAAATCTTGAACCAACTCTATTTTGGACATTTTTTTTTCTTTTTTTTACCACTATAAACAAAACTTTGTTTAAGCTTTTAAGGCCACTTTTCTACTGCTTTACAACGAAACAAACCTTTAACAAAGGGCTACAGAAATGATTTACAAATCAATGATGTAAGCTTTCACAATCAGCATGTGTCTTATTTCCAATTACTTTTATATTTAACAAAAAAATATAATGATTTAAGTATTACATACTTCAAATTAATATTCTTGAACTTTGATACCCCTCAAAATCCCCCTTTTCTGATGTAGATCTGAATATCCCAGGTTTTTAGGGAAATGTTATGATCTAAAATCACCTGCTAGGAAGACCATTTATTTTTAGTCTTATCAGAGTTGCTGAAAAATGTAACCATCTGTCTAATAAGATTTAAGTCAAAGATAATTTAGCAGAGAAACTTCTATTAGTCTTTTTCAGCTGGAACAATCTTGAAAGGGCACAGTTCAGCAGAATAAATACATTCAAAGATAGTTGCTATTAACAGAAAACCTGCGACTTTAGGCAAATAATATAAAAGTGTTTTGTTTGATCTACTGTGAACGATCATTTTAGCAGATATTTTCAATTTAAACAGATTGAGCACAAGACACCATGTTTTAATTAAACCAGGCTTAGTGAATCAGACTCAGGTCAGTTTCCTTAACAGTCACCAAAACTGCTCATGAACGAGAAAATCAACCAAACAGATCAGGGCAGAGAATGTGCATACACTCACTTATTTTAGCAACAGTGCAATGACCAATCCTTTATGAAGCAACCCTAATATCTGCTGGGGTAAAGGGTAAATGTGACAGAGTGCACAGCAACCAAAGCAGCAATACTGTAAGTCAGTTGCATCATGAAAATGTGATTCACACATTGGGCTGCAGAGAAAAAACTGCTCTGACTAGTCTTTTAAGCTTTTCATTTAATGTAGAGAGAATGAAGGAGAACTTTAAATGGGTTTAAAACAGGAGTTACACAATATACCATTCAAATATGGGGAAAAAATAGATCAAATTTTAACAATTTTACAGGTTTATCCAGGAAAAAATATGATCATCCAAATCTCAGTAACTAAGGAGACCAAATGAGTAGATTCCTAAAATCATCTTTAATCCAAGCTGTGTGGGAATAGACCTCTGCACAAAACCTACAGATTACTAAACAGAAACGATTAAATATTTTCTCACAGAAAATTAAAGAAAAAAGAGAAATATAGAGATTTACTGAAAAAAAAATCCTCACTCTTTTTTATGTAATATGTATTCTCATTTTATGATGTTTAAGACTGAT